TGAGTTTAATACAGTATCCATAATTTTAAGGAAATGAACATACAGAACAAACAGGCTTCACTAGAATTTCAACTATTCACAAGAAAAATAAGATTTTGTTGCAGAAACAAAAATAGTAGTTGACAGCCATTTCTTGACCATTAATCCTAGAATTACCAAAGAGATTCATATGGACCATACAAGATTTTTTTAAGACTGTTAATGCATGAAATTGCTTGTGGGTCTATGCCTTTTTTGCTTACAAGGTCCTCAAATAACATAAGTGACACACACACACACACACACAAAATAAAATGTATTTAATTTCAATAGTATTACCAGGTAAACTGATTTCCTTACAAGTATTTGATAGGTTAATCCTATGCATATGGCAGGGGTCAAAATGCATATCATGTTTTACTTTTACAAGTTTATTATAAACATATATCAATAAAAGTAGCATAAAATTCAATGTTTTATATCATCTAAGTTTTAATTTCTTAATCTTGACTGATGTGTGTCATATTATGTATCTCTCCTCTGATTCTCTCATTTTAGGTTCTCTCCATTGCCTTTTGTAAGGTTGTCAGAGAAACCAATCAATCAGAAGCTTAAACTATAGATATTGACAGATCAAAATCTAAAATCTAAACCATTCACCTTACTAAACTAGTTAAGTATAAATACATTTGTGACACCCATAATTGAGGCTCTTCCCATCTTGCCATAGTTTTCAAAAAACTCATCTACACCATGTGCCCGTTTATAGACATTTTTATAACCAATAGAGAGAATTTTGTCCTCTACAAAAATCTTTTGATGTTTATTTTTTTTTGGCATGCATCTGTAGACATTTTACCCCAGGCTGTTAATGTATGATAGTTGTTGTTGAGCTTGGAGCAGCTAATGAAATTATTTAAACCTATTTAGTTAGGAAGCCAGATAATTTATAGTAGTTTCAGGACATTCTATATCTATTTTCGACCATCACAATATTATAAAAAAGTAGGCCTGCAGTGTTTCCTCTGTTGACAGCAAAAAGACCAAGTTTGATTGTGTAAGTACTAAATTTCTTGTTTTTATGTATAATTTTTATTTATTGTTATAAATAATTACTAAGATGTAAAAATTAGAACTTATTAGG